AGGGGGTGAATGAGGGGGTGAATGAGGGGAAGTGTCCTGGGGGGGGTGAATGAGGGAGTGGAGAGGGGAGCTGCCCTATGGGGGTGCGAATGATGAAGGGATCTGTGTCCTGCAGGCGTTGGGGGGGGTGTTCGAGGAGGGCTGCTGGGGGGGTGGGAGTTGCCCATGGAGGGGAGGCAAGGAGTTATGTGATGGGTGAAAGAGGGTGCTGTCCCGTGGGTGCTGACTAAGGAGGGGAGGGCTGGGAGGGAGCTGTCCCTTGTGTGCGGGGATAAGTGGGAGTTGTGGGGTTGGAGGTGGGTGATGGGAGGGTTTGGGGTGCTCGGGGGGCGCCAGTGCGGGCAGAGGGCATCAGGACGTGGGGCTGGGGGCCAGCACAGCCCACGGCAGTTGGCGAGGGGCTTTGCAGCGGCTTTCTAATGCCCGGCCAGGCTGGGGGGCTTTTAGATCCCCTCTTCTTCCATCCCTCGTCCTCCCCGAGGTCTTGCTTGCTGGGGAAAGAAGGGTCTGATTCTATCAGGGAGCAGAAAAACGAGAGTGCAGAGGAGGGTTTACTGGCTGACCGGCGTGTCCTGGGCCTTTGAGGCCGAAACTGTTATCAAAATAACATGCGTAGCACAGCAGAAGTGCCTTGGGGAAGAATAAGTGAGGGAATGAAAGGCCCTCGCATAGCAGGCGAGAGCTTGTCAGACTCTTTTCCCAAGGGTACAAAGGAAGGCCAGCTTGATTTGTGGGGAAGGCAGTTCTGTGACAAATGGGGAACTTGATGAAACTATTCAGCGCTCCGTGCGCAGCTGAAGTTGAGGCCGTTTGAATAGCGAGCGCGGGGGCAGGGGAAGTGGTGAGAGGTTCGTTGCTGTTGATGCACTGGAGTGATTTTAATTGGAGGCAAGTGTCTTTACAGAGAACAGTTGCACGGAGCTAAGAAGCAGGTGGCAAATTCTGGCTTTTCCAAACCGGTATCTATTGCTAAGCGGCTGCGCTTAGCAGTGACTAAACAGAAAACTTGCGTCAGTAAATACTCTGCTTCTTGCGACACTTCTCTCCCCCTCCCCCCCCCCCCCTTTTTTTTCTAGTTTCATAGGAAGTCTGTTTCTAAAATTTAGCAGCTATCTTGTCGGCGCTACCCGTATTTACTGTTTGCTAATCTGTCATAGATGTCACACTAAATTCCTTTTCAAAATTGGCAATGGTGCTGTGTTCCCTTTCAGTTATGAATATGTGCTCACTGAGGATAACTATTATTTATGTGCAATTTCTTTTTTAGAACTGTTTAAGGAGATAATCCCATAAAGATCTCTGCAGCTGGTTTACTGCTAATGAGCCTTGGAGGGCCCTGTGGTGGATGCAGAACTCCTGGGCATGCTCAGTTGAGTTTGATGCTACCCGGCAAAGTTGCTTATATTCTGTAAAAGGCGTAACACAAGGGATCTATATAGAAGATGAGTCAGAAGAGCAATAGCCCACAGTAGCATTTGTGCCAGTTCCATTTGGCTTCAGAACAGGAGGGTTACATTACGTGTTTGGGCACCTGTAGAATTTCAGCCTTCCAGTGCACTTTCCTTGTAGCTGAAATTGTGAAAAAGAGATATTTGTGTTGTTGTTTTTTTTTTTTATGAGCCAATTATAATTTTTTTAGGAATGAGACGTAGAGGCTTGTGATTATTTGTTTCCAGAAAGTTGTTTAGTACCTCACTGACTTGTGGAAACATCTGCAAAGTCATTTGAATATTAGCCTTGTTAGTCTGTGCTGCAGTTGCGGATTATCTTAATTATATTGGAGGTTTGCCCATACAGAAAAACACACCTAAACGTTGATCTGGTGGGAAACGTCAGAAGACTAATTTTGAGGAGATATTGGCATTGGTTAAATTGTAAGAGTTCCTTCAAAATGGAGTTCCTGTTGAGCCCATGCTGTGCAAATTCTTTATGTGGCTATGTGCAATAAAACCTCAGACTTAGCTTACTGTTGATAGCAAATAGAATGTTTCCATTAATGTGTCATATAATATTTGTAGTCCCTCTCAAATCCTTTCGCAGGTTAGACAAAATTTATGTCTTCTAATTGCATTAGGCTCATAGCATAACTCTTAACATTTTAAAGTAAAGCATATTGACATCGCACCCAGATAAATGGCCTAACCTTTGCATGCTTGCTCAGGAAAAGATGTTATGGATTACTAGTTAACTCTAAGTTATTCATTAGGAAAATTAGACATGGTGAGTATTTTTATAAGGTTATCATACCTCTGCTGCTTAGTATAGATGAGTTGTCAGCAATGTTCTGTTTGCGTCCTCTTAAAGCATAACTAATCCTAATAGAGATCTTGGTGAAGACCTTCCAAACAGAGAAGAAATATTCAAGATAGATATTCAGGATGTTTGTGGAAGCATCTGTTGTGGACTGTAACAGTCGGGAATGGAAAATCCAACAATGACTATTGTTCTGTGGCATCAGTCGACTTACCTGTTAATAACAAGGTTTTCTAACCTGGTCAGGAGGGAGAAAATATGCTTCCCCAGTGTCTGATGGGAAAAAAAGAGTTTCTTTTGAGGCAAGCTATTGTTTTCCTTCACAATAAAAGGTATATACTTCAAACGTTTTTGTAAAGGTCTCTTATTTAGTACTTAGAAAGTAAATAAGAATTGAGTATTATAAGCAGTGGCTTGTCTTTTAGAAGCTGTAAAACAGGCAAGAGCAAACCACTTTGCAACTTACAGTCAAACCTATGAGAATGACTTTGTCACTGTGCATTTTCAACTTCTGTTTCAGGGTTTGGTCCATTTGGAGAACATGCTGTTAATGCCAGTTGGATTGCAGTTCAGGTAACGCAACTTAATTTTTGGCAGGTTAAAACAGAGAGAAATGCTGATAATGCAACTCTATTATAACTTGTCTTCCCAGTTTATTACCCGAGACCAGCTCGCTCCAGATAGCCAGATGATCGGATGGATAATGTTTATTCACTTCTCAGAAAACAATCCTTTAACTAGTAGAATTTAATGAGATTGAGTTAATATAGCTAAGGCAAGTAAAGAATTCATAGGCTAACTCCCTAGATTTGAAAGATATCAAACGTAATGGGGGGCTGGAATGCTCCAGGACTTAATATGAATCGATAACAAATAAACCTATAAGGCTTTTTATGTTTTTCTCTCAGCTGTAGCTTGAATCTGGGCAAGCTGGTTAACCTTTCAGCTGGGCATCTGTGATGAGGCTTACGCAGGGCAATCTTGTGGAGTCAAGTGCACTGCGGAGTAGCCTGATTTGGGTCTGAATTTCAGGACCCTGACTCCAAAGCAAGTAGCTCCCACTGCCGCCTCTCCCTTCTCTTCCCTTTGTGGCAACCTGCTGTCAGTGGTGGGCTGCGGCAGGTGAAGCGGGAGGCGTGTGGGTGATCGAGCGGGATCCCGCTCCAGAGCCAGCTTCGTCTCTCGTTTGAGAAGGCAGCAGGCAAGTGTTGCTCGCCTGACTCTAACTCATGGAGTTGGGCTTTGCTCGAGATACGCCCTGAGAAGTGTTGGCGAAGCATCGTTGCTGGAGCTGATCGTACGCACTTGCACAAATCCAGCTTATGCCGCGTGTAGCTGCGTGTCTGCGCGAACGCGTTCGTCTGTGTGATATACCGTATTGGGATGTAGCCACACGTGACAAGAAGAAGGAACCAGACTCTAGCTAGATGCGCTGCTAAACTAAGGAATTAAGGATGCTTTGTAGTATGCAGTAAGAACATTGGCTTGGGACAGTGCTGCTGCGTTATCCCACATCTTCCTTATTTGTCACTTCTGGACGTGGTTTATGGCAAAACTACTGGGAATTCAAGGGTACCTTTTAGTACAGTTACCCAGGGAATTAAATCTATTTTTCTCCCCAACACATCTCTCTCCCCTTCAGAGCTCTGAGATTAATATCTTCTTCAGAATGCTTTTAAATTAAATCACAACTATAATCAATTACAGTCAACTAATGTCCAGATGTCTAATGTGCTGGCTGGTACGAGAAGACTAAACCTTTGGCTCCATGAGCCTTTTGGAGCTGAATATATTTGAGTTAGGATTTGCTCAGCCTCAGTTTGGGGAAAAATGCAAGCTGTGCATATGAAAAAAAAATCTGCCTATACTATTAAAATTCAGTAGTGAGGCTAATTGATTTGGTTTGTTCTTACTCACGTCAGGTCTGTTACTGTAAACAAGCTACTTTTGTTTTGGAGAAGATACACAAAAGGGTATTGTGCTGCTGGGACAGAAAGAGGAGTGGATGTGCTCGTGTTGCTTACAAGAACAAACCTAATGTATAATTTGTAAAAAGAGAAATTGCTTATCGTTCCTTCAGCCCAGCAGCTCGAGGCACTGACGACTGCTCGGCTGTGTTGCTGATAGATGAAGCAATGATGTGAATTTTAAATTCATCTTTCGGGCTTGGGGTGTGTGTGGGGGGGAGGTTGCAAATATAAACCTACAATTGGTGTTGTGTGCCTTGCTGCGTTAGTTCTCGTCTTCCTCCGAGTCCCATTTAATAGCTTCTGTTGGAGTCTAACTACAAACATAAACTTTCAGGCAGTAGAGAGGATTTGCCTTTCCTTACTCTGTCTCAGCCTTGAGAGGCCCAGACAAAAAGGAACAGCATGTCTTTGAGCGCCCGCAAGTTGGGCATTGTGCAAGTTTCAGACAGGGGACTTCATGGAGCTGAGTGGACACAAAGGCGTGTCTGAGTTTCTGCATCCCAGACAGTGTGATCTGCATCTTAATAGAAGAAAAATCAATTAAACAATCTTTGTAAATCCTTCCTAGCTTTAGGGCTAAGCTAGTTCTGGTTTATTACATCTTTTATTATCCTGCATCCAGAGGATAAAATTCTCTGCTTTTCTTTCTAGTCCTGTTTTGGTGTTGTATGGCTTCCGAAATCGAACATAAATATGGTGCCTCTTTTTCTTCTGACTGCAGTGAATTTATGGTATAATTACTTGTTTTTTGGAAAGTTAATGATGTTTTTTACATGTGGTTGACATGTGGAGTATCTTAAATAGTTGTCGTAGCACTCTAATAACGCTAAGATTAAATGTCTGGAGATTTTTATGCCTGGGAGAGATATACCCTCTAAATTCAGAGGGAAGAAAAACTTATTTCCATTTTCTTTCCTTTTTTTTTTTTTTTCGAGGCTACAATAAAAATACTCTGTGCGTTACAAAACGTGGGCGTTCCGTCCCGTATTTTAGGTTTTGTAATAATCCCTCGCTCGAGGATGCTTTTCAGCGGCAACTTTTTGCTGGGGAGAGACCTTTCTCTAAAGGAGTTATTACAACTGGCTTTGTGTTTCGTGCGTTTTCTGGCCTCCGTGGTGTGACGCGGGCAGCCCCGGGTGCCGAGCTGCACCGGTCAGTGTAGACACAGGTGCGCCCTGCGGACTGTGAAGCTAGTTGGCTGCTGTGTTCATCCCGCTGAAGCGTTTCTGGCTGAGCTGGAGGACGAGGAGAGAGGTCAGAGTGCGTTTTGACATTACTAAGGACAATTGCTGTCAGGGTGTCTAGACAGACCTGATAAGGATATTAAAGGCTCACAAAGAAGTCCATTGTTGAGGGGTCAGGGAATCGGTCAAACATGTTCGTTTTTCTATATTTGTCAGGTATACAAGGCTGTAGATAATAAGTTGTCTGGGGGCCAGAGTACATCTTTATTATTGAATGGAAGTGCATGTTCACGGCGTTTGGTTAAAAGAAAACTGTGGATTTGTAAAGCCGCGTTTAGTGTGCCTGCGTTCGGAGGACGTAGGTGTCATTGAAACGGTCTGGCTCGGAGTTAAGGCTTGAGGTTTCCGGCTTACTGTGGTGAGCGTGCAGTTGGTAAAACTTTTAACTACCAAATTCCTCTTTAGCAGCTGTTTCACGCTCTTTAGAGAAGTGATGATGAATTCCTACCCATTGACATTCTGGAGTTTTTCTACAAAGACTAACTTGTATTTGAATAGTCCAATTTGTAAACTACTTGTTTTATTAATGCACCACATAAACTAGCTAGCTTTTTGCAGGCAGGTTTGTGTAAAGAAGATGTGATGAAGCATCACTTAGCGTCCATCTCTAGTAATGAATGTCTGTGTGTGCCAGACACTAATCAATACAGCAAGCCTTTAATATCAGACTTGCCCTCAGAGCCAGAGCAAGTGATTTATCATTGTTGTTGCTCGTATCTGCTGGTCCGTGAAAGTCTTACTCTTGCCTTTTCTGCGTGTTTTAGTTATCTTAAATCTTGTTACAGATTACAGAGACCTGTCTCTCTGTGTCCATACAAGTTTGATTTTTTCTTTTTGATCTCAGAACTCCAGTAAATAAACGACTCGTTGATAACTATAGAAAAAACATTACTGAGATAATGCCCACAGTTAGATTAGCAGAGAGAGGAAGTATGATTGTAATGGAAGAGTCCAGAAAACTTGACTCCTTTCTTCCCCTTCTCCTCTGCTGAACTTTAAACTATCTTTAGTTTAAAAGAATTTTAAACCTAGTTAAAAATAAGTTTAGAAACAGAGTAAGCTTCGTTGACAATAGCTAATCTGTACTTCTTAACCTGAAGTTGCAAGTATAATCTTTGTTCACAGGAAAATAAAGCCTAAGAGTTGCATAAAAGGGGAGCTCTTGGCTCTGATCTCAGAATCAGAACCTGGAATGGAGCTAATTTAGTCATTCAAGGATATTTTAAAATGTCCTTTGATAGTCTGATGGCTTTTAACATGACTGGTTTTATTTCAGACCCAGGACAACAATTGCGGTGGTTTCTGGATGGGTGAGTTTCAGGCTGTTTTCTTGCTGTGCGTGCAGCTCCTTTGATGTTAATGCGAATAATCATTGTGAGCTTCTAGTACGAGTAAAATTGCATTTTTCAACTGACATGTACCTCAGAGGAAAAAAGCACAGGAAGAGCAGCTTTTGCTGTGTATCAACCTGTGAAATCTAGAGCTGGTAGTTCTAGCTAAAATACAGGCTTAGGAACGGAGATGCAAGAGCAGAGGTACTTCCATCTTCAACGAGAAGGATATACTTGCTGCTTCTTTCCAGAGAGGGCAAAGGTATAGGAGGATTCTAACTAAGGTTATTGGCTTTAGCGCCATTTACAGTCATCTGTCAGCCTTGAAAGCGGCTGTAAAGTTTTTCAAAGTGCCAGAATTGCTGTTCTAATTAGATAAAAACTTGAACCGAGTTAGATGCCATTGGAACTCGTTAAGCATGATAGCTGAAATCACTTATGCCACTTGAAAGGTGCCTCCCAGTGTAGACTTGCACAAGGCTCCTAAACAAACAACATAGGTTTGGAGCTCAGCTGCTGGCTTAGTTTAAGCTTTTTTTTCAGAGGCTTCAGACCGTGTGGGTATATTCTTTCCTATGGCTTTTGAAAGTTTGGGTTTGATAGGTCTGGAAAGTTTCCCTTCTGGTGAAGTCCTATTCCGGGCTAGACTGTTCAAGTCTGAAGTACCAAATGAGCAAGCACCTAACTGAAACTTTGCGGGTGAGACTGGAGTATATCAAAATGAAGACCAAAGAAGAGCAAAGGAGAAAAGAAAAATGGTCAAATTAGTCTGTCTGGCAATGCACTCGAAGGCAGGTTTACAGCTGGTGTTGCATTCTGTAACTAAGCAGTGAGCAATCTACAGTTTTACCCTTTCCTGTAAAATATAATTATGCCGCTGTTCAAACTGGAAAACGTTCAAGTCCATATGCTGTATTTACAGAGACCTTTCAGTGCATGCTGAAATGAAACAGTATTCCTTCCTGTCAGATATTTTGGGGGAAAAAAAAATCTTTCCTTTTCCCTCCTCCTTTCCTTGTTCTAAGGAGGTCTTTGCACAGTATTTAACTGACGCCTTGTGTTTTACAAAGTTTATTGCCCAGATAGCTGGGATAGTTTCAGGGCATAACTTCAGTCAACGTTACAGAAGAAGAAATAGCTCACTGCATTAGTTGAATCACCCCAATGGTTAAAGTTAATGTTGCAAAATGAAGTACAATATGTTAGATGCTCTAGGTAAAGCTAGCAAAGGAAACCCACTTTCTGTTTTGGAACTAGGCTGTTCTGTATCTCTGATTCTGCCAAAATAAAAGCAAAAACAACTATGTTGCCGAAGGTGTGCCAATGTGGCTTCTGTTTTTTGTATGAGGAATGTTTGTTAATATTTGTAGAGAATCACAGACGACCTGCCTCGTGGTGGCGTTAGCTGGAGGTGAGAGTTGCTGTCTGCTTATGTGGAAACGCACGTGGAAACCTGCTCTGCAATCCAGCAATCCTGAGAGAGGACAAATTAGACTAGGAGTGTAATTCTCTGAATTCTACATTCTCTGTATATGAACCAGTTCTTTCAGAAAGTTCGTATGATTATATATTTCTAAGAGCAGTATAGACAGCCCTTTCCTTTAGCGTGAGTGTTGCCGATAGCTGCTGTCCGTTAAATGTTGATTTCTGTGTTGCACGCGCATCAGAGCAAAGCCAAACTTGCTGTCGGTGAAGGCGGCAGGGGCAAAGAGACGCCGTTGTTGTTCCCGGGGATGTTTTCTCTCTCTCCTTTTGCTGCTCCTTCTGTCTTACCTCCCGAGAGACTCTCTCTGAGGCAGTGTAGGGTAGGAGACAGAAAACTGCTTTGATTTTGTAGTGACCAGCTGACCCAGAGTAGTAACATTTCTCTTTTTTCCCCGCTTTCCCCCCCGGTGTAACTTTGGAAAGGGTTTAGTCCAGCGGCTCCCACTTTCTGGCTGCTCAGGGAGTAGGAGTGTTGTTTATAAGGTTATTTAACCTGCAACGTAAGCTTGTAGCGGTCCCCCACCGCGGACTCGCTCTGCCGTTCAACCTTTCAGAAGTATATCCTCTGCTGAGCTTGTGTCTGATCATCTTGATTTTTATTTCCTTGTGTTCTTAGGAACTGGAGAAGCTAGGACTGCGAGATGATGTGGATCTGCATGTGTATGAAATCCCGGTTGAATATCAGGCGGTGCAAAGACTAATTCCTGCATTATGGAAGAAGCACAGTCCGCAAGTGAGTGAGTGAAGCGAGGAGCAGAAAAGGCAGAACAAATGGGTGAAAGCTGGCATTCTTACAGTAATGAGCATAGTGCGAAGTCTCTTTTTCAAATGTGTGTTTAGGATTGTAGTCCCTCAGTAGATTTTTTTTCTTCTTTTGAAGAAGAATTTGTAGAATTGTATAGCTCAAAATAGAGTGCTCCCATTAATGGGAGCAACTGATGCGAAGAAGCCGCTGTAAAGGGCTGTCTAGGGAGCTCACAGTGCATTAGTCTGTGCCACGGTGGCAGTTCCACCGGTGGGCTTCGGCGTGATTGTGCCAACGTTCATCTTGCCGTGAGTAAATTAAGACTCTAGACCGGGGAGGGCGTGAAGTCAGCCGAATTGTTCTGTACCGGACCCACGAGTTCATTGATAAAAACGGCTTGTTACAGTGGTGTTCATGTAAGAATTCATGCAACAACTGCGTCAGTGTTTTGCTGGGAATAGCGGGCTGTTGATTCTCCACCATTTTTATTTTGGTTGATCTAACTTGTTTCTTTTCTCTTGTAGCTGGTGGTTCATGTAGGTGTTTCGGGTATGGCTACAACTGTAACTCTGGAGAAGTGTGGCCATAATGTAGGTTATAAAGGCTTAGACAACTGCCGCTTCTGCCCAGGCTCTCAGTGTTGCATAGAAGGTGGCCCAGAATGCATCGATTCCATTATTGACATGGACACAGTTTGCAAGAGAGTCTCAGCACTGGAGCTGGATGTCACTGTCACTATATCTAAGGATGCGGGCAGGTATGGGATGATAGTGATCAATGGGGAAAGTAGGCTCATGCTGCAGCGCACCTTCCTTTCGTGCCCAGCTCACTGAGGCCTATGCATTTCATAGGCTTTTCGCTCCCAGCGGGGCCAGCTATTCCACCCGTTCTTCTGCGGTCGTGTAGTCATAAGGGAAAGGAGAGATTCTTATGTTTTGTAGTCCTAGATGAGATTAAAGCAATTTCATAAACTCACAATACCTGGCTTGTATTCCACATTTTATTGCAGGATGTTGATGCAATGCTGAATGATAAGAATACAGTTCATCCTGTCAAGCAGTTTGCACACTGTGTTTGTCACTTGTGGCTAAGTAAGTTTTATTTTTATATTTCAGATACCTTTGTGACTTCACTTACTATACTTCCTTGTACCAGAGCCGTGGGAGGTCTGCTTTTGTTCACGTGCCTCCACTGGGAAAACCATATACTGCAGAACAGCTGGGTCGGGCACTACAGGCTATAATAGAAGAAATGCTTGATGTTTTGGAGCATCCTGAAGACAAAATCAATTGTCAGCATGAACACTGAAACTGGGCAGAAGCTATCCTAGTATTGCACTTCCAAAATGTTCCCTGCTACTGAAGTACTGGGGAAGACAGTCTGTCTGAAACGTACAGAACAAGAATTGGAGACTTCAAAAATGAGAATTCCACGTCTAGAAATTGACGGTTTTTGTCAAATGTGTGCATTTCAGCCTAGGCAACAAAGGATTCAAGATCTCTTCTTTTGAACACCTGCGACTACTCATTTCTGAAGTGACTGATGTGTGTATGCTGTGCTTTATCCAGAGCTTATCTGTCAGTCAAGTGACAGCTACTGACCGGTCTCGTACAGCACAGATGGAAAGTTTCTCGTCAGGGCTTGGCAATCAGGTGCAGGGAATTGATAAAACCATCTTCTAATGACTAGTTCTTAAGCTGAAAAGTTTGCTTTCATTTTGTTTTGATTGTCCTCTTTGGCCCAAATTATAGGTCATAATGTTAAAGTATAACTGAAAATAGTTGGAGCGGTGTGGGTTTATCTGTTGTAAAACAGTACTTGTTGGAGACAAGGAGTCTTCTAAATTGTTCTGCTAAAACTGAAAGATATTTTTAGGCACTGATTTCTCTCCCACACCCCAATTTCCAAATATTACTAGGGCTCTCTGTAATATGCTGGTTAACTAGTAGCTGCAAATAGGAGGGATGTGTTTTGGGTTCCTTTTGTTGTGAAGGAGGAGATAGCTTTTTGTACACAGTATGAACCTAACTTGCGCCAAATATTTCCAAATGTCTTTTTTATTATGCTCTTGATGCCACCTTTCTCACTCAAATCAACCATATACCTCCTGTACAAAACACACTGTTTCGTATGTGTATAAAGCAAATCATTAGCGGTTAAATAGCTTTGCTAAAGGCCACTTTCTCTGCAGGAGATCTTTATCCTAGACTCATGGTGCTAGCTGTTATTTTTAAGGTGAAGGTTGAGTAATTTATAACTTCCTTAGTTATAAATTTTCATTCTCGTTAGGGGTTAGATGAAGAGTAATGTTTAACTGAAATTCTAAGTTGCCACCTTGATTTATTATAGGCATAAATATGCTAACATGTGGATTCAAAGACATTCTGCCAAATCAAATATTCTAAAATCTTAAACCTATTCCCACTGTCTGTAAACCAGAGACAGTTTTTTTTGAAAACTAGGAGTTTTGCCTAGAATGAGTATTCCAGGCTGTTTATTAGTGCCCCCCTCCCAATGGGAGGGTGTGAAGTGCTGCTCCTTGTGTGGACTTTCCAAGTAATTCATTTGGGAAAACACGTATACAGGTTCTGAGCAGGACTTTGAAAGTCATTTATGCTAGGAGTTTGGTTCCAGATTACAGGACTCCAGTGAAAGACAGAGGATGCCACAGTGGGAACAGAAGTAAAATTGGTAATTGAAGACCAGGATGTCTCATTAAGGAGTCATTTAAGTGAGAAGGGCTGTGATTTGATTCTAATACTTTTACAAATATATATATATATAAAAGACTCAACATTTTGAAACTTCTTAGAATATCATTATTTTAATTTTTTTAATTATGAATGATTCTGCTATAGTATCTCTCAGTGAGAGCTGCTATTAACCTGCTGTTTTCCAGTAGAAGTTTAGTGAAGAAACAAATACCACTTCTCCTTGTAACTCTTGAGAGAGGATGCAGACTTCTGCAGTTGTAATAACTTTGCTAAGGGAAACCGTGTCTGTGAAGATGTTTGGATATACTTCTGGCTTACCAAGGAAAATGCTACTGTACTTTCTATCAAAGGAATTTGCCTTCAAAGTTAATGTTCTCTTTTGCATTCAAATACAAAGTAGCACTTGTCAGATTGCCAGCAGGCAGGCAGACCTTCTGATTAGTAATTTATTATATTTAATGTTTTGTTTAAATATTGGTGATTTGACACATTTTTGCAAATAGTTAAGGTACTTATCTTCTTGTAGGTTTATTCCTTTATCTAGTAAGAGGTTTTTGTCATCAGTGTATCTTAGCTGCTAAACTTTTAAAAAAGAAATGGTTCGCGTGTTCTGCTAAGTTCCGCAATTGAATTCAGTAATTTTCAGTAACGCTATTTAATTTACATGTGGTATTTCTGGTTGGGAGTAAAACGGGAGTGGAAGAGCGCTGTAAGGATGGCTGTACGAAGGGCTGGTTGGACTAGCAGGGTAAAGCCCGCGGACGCTGCGCTCAGAAAGTCACAGGCAAGGTTCACCTCGCGGCTGGACCGTTTGGGTCGTGCGCCTGGTCGGTCAGTCTTGTGCTCCGTTATTGATAAACGTCTCCAGTTTGAAATGAGATGTGCCGTATTTATCAGTGTTTATCTGTTGAATGTTTTATGCTTCCTTTGAGTGATATAAGCGGTCAGCCTTGGACATCTCCGCTAGCGCGGATGCCGCACCAGACTCGGTGGAGTTCACTATACGGGCTGTGCCTGAGGAAGAAAACCTCCAAATTCATCAGCGGGGAAGGCAGAAGGCGGCAGCTGCACGGGGAGAACCGCTTTCCAAGTTAGTTTATTCAGCCTGTGGAATTTTTCCTGTTCAACACCTGTAGGTATTCTTTCCAGAAGCGGTCCACCTTTGGTCCTCTCTGCCGTTCAAAGGAAAAATCCGAGTTGATTTCAGTGACTTCTGTTTGTCTAAGGACTGCGGTAGTTGACCTTCTGCGTGTCAGTGTTAAAATTCTCATTTTTCAGAAATACTTTGCTTTGAGCATCATTTTAAACTGCATCTCCTCATAATCGGTTTTTGTGACGCTTCCATGTGATCGGTTTGTTAGACAACGTTATTTATTTTATAATCTTTTTGTTCTTGAGAATTAGTCGTCAGAGATTGTATTTGTAAAGGGTGTCTTGGTGGTAGAGAAATTTTGTATAGCGGAACTTTTAAAAATGGCATTATACTAATTTTATTTAATCTGAACCTAAATTAAATACTTTTGTTTTTTAAAAGTTTTTTTTGGTTAGATTCATTAATTCATAGTGTCTTTCCTATAGCTGCATATTTTCTTTGGAAATATGGCATAAAAATGATGCAGAGCTTCAAAGAGCTGATGTTTTGTGTAATGCTTGCTATCTGCTTTCTCTTCCAGATCATCAATAAATAGAATTGCTAATTTGCACTGACTGGGAGACCTGTTGCCAACCACACAAATTTCCGTGCTAGTAAGTGTAGGAAGTCAGGTTTAGTGTTTATTGCTGTGCCTGCAATTTATAAAATGCAAACACTGAAAAAGTTTTCGAATCCTGTGACTGCAAACTTGTGCCTGATAGCACACTTCACTGAGAAATGGGCGTGAGAATATTTCGCGTAGAGGAGAGTATTAGGGAGGTTCCGCTGTATTGGGCCTGATGTCATTTTAGGTACTTGCCAACGGCTGGAAGCAGGGATTGGCTAAAGAGTGGGTGAAGTTTGTTGAGGACAATTTAATATTTTCAGTTATTAAATGCTGCGGAGGATTTTGAGGAACTCCAGATACTCATAAACTGCTTCGTAAACTGGTGACTGTGATGTCAGGAGATAATTCCTTTGAGTTGAGACATGGTAATCTGCTTTATGAAACACAGCAAAAAGACAGAAAAAATCCTGTGAGCTTGAAAGCTTCTTTTCCTTAAGACTAATGGGTCTGTGACTGAAGGTAAAGGCCCGTTGTACAGAAGCTATCTGTTTTTTGGCAGCTTTTGGAAAGGATGTCAAAATCTGTAAGATCGTGTGGAACAGTTCATGCTTATTTGGAGGACTTCCCGATCTGATTGCTTCCTCTGAAACGTGGTAGTAGTGGGAAAGGACGAAAAGGTCATGAGGATGGTTAGAGGTATTGAGTGTGGTTGTGACATGAGACTGCAGCCAAGAACTGTTTAGCTTAAAAGGTTTTTCAAGGAGGGAACTGACTGAGGATGTTCAAAAGTTTAGGACTTGAAAACTGACCAGTGGTTCTGCTTTCACCCTGCTGACGAGGGAAATTCAGAGGCAAGGTGTCTAGAGAAAACGTAAAAGAAGTGCTGCTTGCTGTACCTCGGTCGTGGGATCCGTTGGTGACTCCCTGCAGAAATGGAGAAGGCATCTGTCTGCGTGCAGCATCACATCTTAGAGCGTTGCACATTGTCACTGTTGCGTTGGGTAGGGTTGCTGGCCGCAGCAGCAGAGCTGACTTGCTGAGCCAGGGCTCTGATCTGATGTGTCACCTTTATCTCCTTAGGGTTTGTACTGCAAGTACTGTGGTGAGCCAGGTAGGAACCCGTGCTGTTGGTTTGCATGTACTTACCTAGACAGTCTCACTTAGATGTAGCATTCAAACTGCAGCGTGTCTCTCTTGCTGTTCTGCCAGTTGTGCGGGCGGTATTTAACCTCTCAGTGCCTCCGTCAGCTGGCGAAAGGTGTTATTCCAGGCTGCTGTCACTCAGTGGCGTACCTGGAACAACAACCCAAGAGCTTCCAGGCCTGCAGACTTGCAAATGGACAGCACAGACTCCCAGTGTGGTTATTTTTGTTAATGAAAGGTTTTTAAAAACTTACGAGTCTACTAAAGTTTATTTTAATCCTCGAATAATCTTTGTTTGATTGAGAGTGTGATTCATTGACCTTGCATGCCGGCTTTCTTATGAAATGTATAAAAGGAATTGCGGTAGGAAGAGCTTCCTAAAACCAAATATGGGAAAAATATGTAAATGAGTTGAACTGGTAATTCCCCACTACCGCAAGAGCTAGCACTAGACTAAAGCAGCTGTTACGATTTGACCATGTTATATCATGGTTTAACTAGTTGTGACTTGTGCATCTTTTTAACTTATAGTGTGTTTCTAACTCTCTAACCATGCAATTTATGCTCAGACACTAAGCTACTTCAAGAGTGGGTGGTAGTGTTTGAAAACTAACTGGAAACCGATGTTTAGACATAGAAAGTACAACTGTATATTTTTTTAATTATGATTTTCGGAATTCATTCTGCTGTGCAAATATTTAAATTGTTAGCAATTGATTTGTGCGCTTAGAACATGCTTTCACAAAGTAACTTCACTCCTATTGTCTCCTTTCCTTGCTTTAATATGCTATCCAGTAATATTTTAATGAAATTTCAGAGTTGCAAAGACTTGTTTTCAAACTTTATTTGTTGGCATGGATAAGATATCACTAGGTGATATCATAAGTACACATCTCAAACTAATGTGGATGGATTTCTTATTTTTGCAGCGGAAACCCTAATGTTCTGTGGTATAAAATGCACTTTTTCTTAAAACCTTGTATTCATGTCTCATTAGTGTCTTATCTGACTAAAGTGACAGTTTTGCCAAACCTGCAAAGTAGAAACAAAGCTGAGGATACTGTTAATTCTTCACCTTATTCATTGAAACCTGAGATCTGCTTCTGCTCAGTCTATTTTGAGACAAAATAGAGAGAACAAAATGCCTCCCAATAAATAGGAATTAGATAGAGGAAATGAAACTATACACTGCCCTTAAATAAGTCTGTGCTATTTAAATGCACGTTCAGGTTTTATATTGCACCAGCTTCTTGTATTGCAAATGTTTACTTTGATAAAACAGGGAGTGCCTTGTCCTGTACTGGGCTCACTTTTGGAAAGCAGAATGGCGGTGGTGGGGACAGATGAGCCATTTGCACATGAGGTGGGTGGAAAGACTGGGCTTTTGTCACCGGGAGAAACTACTGAACTTGCTCAGTGTCCCCTTTATCCAAATATGCGCTTTAGAAGCTGCACTGAATTGAGTTCCTGAGGTTTTCTGAAGCACATTCAGACCTGAGAAAGGAAAAGCGGAATATTTGCTACTTACTTGTCGTTGTTGGTTAGACTGGCCAAAATCTTTATGGTTATTCTGTCTCTTTTTTAAGGTTTTGTGTTTTGTTCGGGTTCGGTTATGCATGTTACAGCATCGCTCAGCCTTTTGGGTCCTCCTTTTTGTTAATTGTGGTGAAATGAACAATTGTCTGTTTGGGTATCTCAGGTGTTGCCAATCTCATGCTTATCGGGGCTCTTGGAGCTACGGTTATAAAATCTGTTGGGGCTTCTGTTTTTCTCAGTGTGTTCTTGCAGTGCCTTGTAAAACCAAACAATCTAGTGTGTCACAAAAGGGCTGTGTAATAAAGAACCGTTAACATACTTTCAGCTTGCTATTGCTAGACTGGACTTTGTAACTGAAAATTTAAACTGATATTTCAAAGTAAATAAAAGAGTTTAACTCTGACTCGTGGTGTTCTTGAACAATCTTCTGGAGGGCTGGCTTTTAAAGATGTAATTTTCTAACGCTCAGTTTTTAAATTACATATCAACAGTCATAGACTGAATAGACAACAGTCTGTTTGTCCTGTTCTTATACCAGTCCCTAAATGTCTCCTGGTGCTGGAGGCAGGGTCCGGGGCTGCACGGATCTCGTGTCTGCAAGGAGCAGGCTGCGCAGCGTACTCGGTGGTGCCCTGCAGCCCCTCGGCTCGGCAGCGGCTGGACTGTAAACGTCAAGATAACGTTCAGCACATCAGTAAAGAACGCGGCCGCGTGTAATGTTAGACTTCCTGTCGAGCTCGTCGAGCTTTGCGGCCATCCGTTCGGAAGACAGAAAGGTCAATCGCAAGCTCCGTTAGGGTTCAAAGAGCTTCCCAAAACTTACTCGCAGAGGCTAGCGTGCTGCGGAGCGGGAAAGACGGTTGCTTTCCTGTGGAAGGTGTTAAAGTCTGATAAAACTCTGTGGCGTGCCGATACGCCGGACCTGTGGGGAGCTGACCCTGGCAGCTCATCCCGTCGACGACTTTGGTTTTTCTTTCCAGCCCGAGTTGCATTGCTGTGTGATGCAAAGTCCGCGTTGCCCAGTGAACCCTAAATCTCTGTCTTTTGCAGAGGTGTCTGTTGTGTTAAGAAAAATGTGTGCGCTCTGCATCGGCCTCGCTGTCCGCGCGCTGGCCGGCTGGCAGCAGCAGGTCTGCCCGCGGAGCTGGGCTTGCACGGGGGCCGGGCAC